GATTACAGCCTATAACTTCCTTTCACCTGGTGCATCAAAACACCGAGATGGTCAACACCCTTTACTTGATTGTGACATTTTGGACTCTTTGAGGTTATAATGATTAAGGTCATCGGGAAACTCAAAAAATGTTATAGACCAAGGATTGTTAAAACACTGAAGTCAATACGTGTCTAAAGTTTACAGTTAATTTCGATATTACACGAGCATGGGTCCTTTTCGGCTCGTAAAAATTGGACATGTATTCTTAATAACTGTGCATACTCTAACATTATTGCAATCTGAACATATTTTATTAACTTACTGCAATCTGATTGATTGATCATTTGAAATGAAATAATTGACTGGTTTGATAAAGCACTAAATATAACATTACACCCTACTGTATTACCCCTACTTTACAGTCATTATCTATCTAACCTCTTGGGAATGGCATAAATTATGCAGTTCTAGTACCGTCTATTAGACAATGAATGGAATAAATTAATGGGAATGAATGTGTTTTGTAGTGATATATTTTCATGGTGTTACACAATGGAGGAAATATCACTTAACACCCTTCATACATGAAATCAATTAGCAATCTTATCATATGGTCAAACATTGGCACTAGCTTGACACGACTAACAGCCATGCGGAAGTCGTTAGTGAAGTCATCAATCATCACAGCTGACCTGAGTTAGCAAGGCCATTGTCTGGTAAAGCAATTTGTGCCGAAGACTTGATCGGGCAATAGCCAGATGTGTAATCTTTTGACATGCTTTGTCTAAAACGGGTTTATAAGAGAAATGAAAAGTAGATATGAGAGAGCGGAGGCCATGGGCGCCTTGAGACGAGGCGTCTAGAAGTTAACTTGGGACCAGGCAGGTCTCGAGCTAAGACTGGACAACGGCCATGTAAGTTAGTCGGGAGTTGGCACAATCGTGCCAAGCCAAGCTAGGACATGGCTCCCTCAACACAAGCTAATTACGGAGTCTTAAGTTTTGTACATGATAATTGAAAGAAGAATAAAGGTATTATTTGAAGTTAAACCAGTGTTGTCGTCAATAACCTACCATAAAGACCCAATACTGTAACGATGGACCTCCTTTTTAACCGATTAATTTTAGCGCGGATTAAGCCGTGGACTAGGTCTGCCATTGAATCAAATGAGCTGGTTTCGATTCGAAGCGCGTACGTGACAAGTAGTAGGATCGCTTGTCTAACCGCACCGAATTGTTGCGTGTCCATCGGTTTCCCCCCACTGCGAATGACCCCTGCGCACGAACGATTCATTAAAATATAATCCATACCACATACTGATCCCGAAATGATCTAGATTGCGTTCAGTGGTCGTTAGCAATCTGTTTCACAAAGAAATACGAAAATCCTCTAATATCTCTATAAAACATGACTGTCTTCAACACGTGAAGTCACATCACGCGACGCCATTCATTGGTTCAATGGCGCGTGCATTGTTTACATAAGACGTTACTGGTTCTGGCAAAATGGTGCTGTTTACTCATTTTAATACTCATTTACACTAAATAGGAAATAATTTTTACCTACAAATATGTCAAACGTCTTTATTTATTTTTCTAATACATAAAAAATATGTTTTAGAATTTAATTTGTCGGAGGAGAAAAGTTAATATTTGTGGCTCATTAAGTCGCATCGATGTCATCCTTATCAGTGATTGTAGAGTCCTAGCGAAAATTCACTGCTGATCAGTGTGGGTCGTTAGATGGAAGGCGGATAGATGAAAAGATCCGTGCCCTCAATGAAAAACATTGTGTGACCCTTAATTTTTTGTTTTACAAAATATAGTCATATTCTTGAAGCAGTATAAACGAAAATTATTAGGTCAGTTATCATAGGAATTATGGGTTGACCTTTTCATTGGATTTTAGTGGTGTGTTTCTTTTAAACCTTTATAACTATTACAAGATTAAACATTATGTTCATTTTAATTTGGACTGCTTTAGTAGATAAATTATGAGTGTGGCATTGGTTATAAGCTACTGTTGCTCTTGACCAATAATTCAGAAATATGACGAAAGTAAGTGCATGTAAAATATTCAAACAACTTTGAAAAGTCAAACTTCAGTTTAATAAAAATATCTTATTGAAGATTAAGATTTGTAATGTGCCTTATTATTTTTATACAGACAAACTCATTTCTGGGTTGGAATGAATACTAATGTTACAACCAATGTAAAGTTCTCAGACTTTATCCAAGATGACTGTCAACCATATTCCTTGACAATTAAAGGCAACTGGAAAGAAGACCCGACGGATGGCAAACCATGCGTTATTCTTGAACGCGATACATTACAGTGGTTTCAGGAGGTGTGTGATCAGGAAAAAAATGTAATGTGTGATATACCTATAGGTAGTTTTTTTTTCGTTTTTACTTTAAAAGTTCAATGTTAAGAGCCACGGTAGCTTAGAGGGCAGGGCACTGGCTAGCTAGCCTGGAGGTCGCGTGTTCGATCCATGAATTGGCTGATAAAGAGTTATCTTGGCGTGGTTTCCCCTTGTCAGTGACAAGGACGCCTGTCGGATGGAACGAAATACCATGTATACGCTGGTGTGCACGTAAAAGACCCCTTGACTCGATAGAACAGTAGGTCATAGTGCCGCTGTCCGGGCAAACTTTTCCTCATAGCACACTGTATGGCGAATGCCCGTCTTCATTAGCCCAACAATAGGACTTTAAACCTCATTTCATTTCATTTTTAAAATCTCTGTGGTCGAAACGTCCTATATTCTGAGAATGGGAATGTTATTCAGATCGGGTTCTTTCTCACTCAGAAACGAATCCGTAAATCACAGAATGCAGTCACTCCTAATCGGAAACTAAGCTCAAATGTCTAGGCATAAGTGTACCATAAATAAGTTAATTTACATTAAGGGGGATTGGGTGGCCGAATGGTTAATGCGTGTGCGTTAGACCATAAGGTCTGTCATTGAGTCAAATGGCGTGGTTTTGATTTCGCGCTTGTACATGACAAGGAGTAGGATCGCATGCCCCACCTCATGGTTACTAAGTCATGTCAATACCAGGCTGTATTTCATATCTGATATATAACACCTCCAGAATTGTCCCGTTTTCTAGTTCAGATCAATTTATCTAAGCGTTACGTCCGCCTCTACCTAGGGCGGTATCGCAGACTATTGTCAGAAAAGTTGTGAAATGAGATACCGGTGTAGAGTAGGGTGAAAATGGAAGAGAGAGTAGGGAACATCATCGCTTCCATTTTCTTGGCGATAATTTATAGAGCTGTGATTGACAAATTAAGGGTCTTATTCAGTGTCCAATCTGTATTATGAATCGTTTAATCTTTATAAGTATTTTTAAATACTTATGATAATACACTAACAATTATAATGTCTTTATTTGTAACTTAAAATGGACAATTTTTACACGTCTATGTTAGTTTGTTTCAATTTCATCAGGTGACTGTACTTATGAACAGGTGTCGAAATCCTGCACCAAATGGCCAGAGGAGCAGACAACACAATCATCACCATCAAACGCTAGCTGTGCATCAAGGTGTAATACATTGGTTAGTGGCGGTTTAAATTGTTACGCTTATGATTTTGATGGAAGTCAATGTATAACATATCACACTGAAAATCCCTATTTCTGTACAAGTTCTGGATCATCATCAAGTTCTTTCTATTTACGAAGATGCTATGAATGTAAGTCATTCACTTTCTAAAAATATAACAATTTAGGCCATAATTTAAGACAACATAATTCTGTATGAAACTCCATCACGAATTCATCTCAACCCGCTCGCCCAGATTTTTTGTGCTGCCAGAACATGGACATAAAGTGTGGTCTTCTGGTTAGCATTTGTTGTTCCTTTACTGCCTTGATAAAGAATAAATGATTATTTTTATTCTGGTCGGATTATATGTTGTTGATTTCGATAAATTAATCATTCATACAGTTTTAAAGGAATGTGCTAAAACATTGCATAAATGTTGACCGTTTCAGTAAATGTTTTGTAATTTGAACATAGAGGGTAATGGTTCTCTGAAATCAAAACGTTTTACAGTATTTAAACGATTACCATCAAACCGAAGCAGTTGTCTAGGGGCATCCATACATTTATTTAGAGATGCACAGTGTTAGAAATGAATGCTTTACTAATCTATAAGATGATTATCTTTTATATCAACATTATCAAATTTCCGCCCCTGTATCTCGGAAAAGCTCTCTTAAATTCCCGGTGTCCTTCCAGAATCGAAATCTACAAGATTACCTATTCAAATTAAGAGTTGCACATCAATTATTTGGAGAGTTATTGCCCTTGTCATCGAGACCCAACACTTAGAGGTCTACGCCCTCTTTCATTAACTCTTTGTCAGTTCATCACCTGTCCTGACTATCAATGAACTGCTTAACTGTCTGGATATCTCTGTGTGCATACGCCTTATAGTCTCTTTTTAGTATAAGGTGACTATGTAAAAGAGAAAAGATTTTAGCCTAGTGACTTGGTAATAGTCTGTTTTTAAGAGTAGGGTCAATGATATTAGGATATGTTATTTGTTTCCTTGTATCATGATTGTCATCAAAAGAATTGCATTAATTGGCTTTACAGATCTATTTCACTAACTACGTTTCTTCTGTAAATACCGGTGTCGTGTGCGAGACAGAGTATACGTTTCGAAACCAACGACATTAATTTACTGTCCACGCACGTTTACACAGAGTTATCTTTTTTTTTTGCATTTGTCATTTATTGCTGATGATGTTATATTTTTCGTACACTATGTTCCTAAAAACTGACCATGTGTCTGTGTAGATTGTGATATTAATGGTTGGATTTAGACACTTTTGTGAAGTCAGCTCCATAATTATTTTTGTTGTATATCTCAGAACTACCAGAGTTTTATCAATCCTGTGTGCTATATTAAAAATTTGCTTAGAATAGAACAGTGTGTATTTCTATGTTTTTAAACCTGTAATACGGCTAGCAAGGCTTTAAATACAAGTCTCGTTTTGTAGATGCGAAAGGGACCAAATCATATAGTGAAGAGTATGCAGGCCAGGCTTTACCAAAACAGAGACAATGCAAAAGCTGGGATCCACCAACTACAACTATTCCTACCACTGCCCTTACAACCACTACCGTATCTACAACCACTGATACACAAACTAGAGAAACAGAAGCGGTTTCGACGGAAGCACAAACTACAGAAACAGAAGGAGTATCCACCAAAGCACAGAGTACAGAAGTACAAACAACAGAAGCACAAACTACAGAAGCACAAACTACAAGAGCACAAACTACAGAAGTACAAACAACAGAAGCACAAACTACAGAAGCCCAAACAACAGAAGTACAAACTACAAGTGCACAAACTACAGAAACAGAAGGAGTATCCACCAAAGCACAGAGTACAAAAGTACAAACAACAGAAGCACAAACTACAGAAGCACAAACTACAAGAGCACAAACTACAGAAGTACAAACAACAGAAGCACAAACTACAGAAGCACAAACAACAGAAGTACAAACTACAAGTGCACAAACTACAGAAGCACAAACAACAAAAGTAGATACAACCTCAAATTCATCAGAAGCACCAACACCAACATTAGCAGAACAAAAGACAACAGCCCAGCCAGACACAACGACAACGCTAGAAAGAGGAACAACTGGACCAACAACAACAGACGTTGAAATATCAGAACAACAGAAGACAACAACTGATTCATTAAATCATGCAGAAGAAGCAAATTCAGCAACGAATCAACAAATATCCAGTGACATATCAACACAAGGTCAGCAATCCCTAACAAATGTAAGATTTTGCTATTGTTAATTCCTCAAACTTAATCATCCAATTCATGCGTTAACAAACGTAAAACTTCTTTTCATCTGAAATTGGTTTTCGTGCGCATACATTTGGAATCATAGTTTATAAACTCACCTGAAATTTATCGGTGTTTCCTTGTCACGGGCACTGTAGGGGACCTTATTCACAAAAATATACTTAAAACCATTTTGATTGGTCAATAATCAAGACTTTTCGCTACAAAAACAAAAGCCACAATATGGCGAAACTTGTGGAAGCGGACGTAAAATACAACTAACTCACACACATGGCGAAATAAGAGAATCGCCATTTTAAGGATCTTGTGAGAGTATAGACAGTCTTCGGATGGATCATAAAAAAGATCGACGTATAATTGCTTTTAAAAACAATAATATTCATATATCTGGGTCGTTTTGAGATTAACTACATAGACTACTTGTAAAGTCGTTATAATAAAGACTAATATTGTTAATATCACTGGTAAATACATAGATTAAGACCATACGAAATGAAAGTATTTGTAATTTTGGTCAAAATTATTCAAATCGATTAGACTTCTAACTTAAAGTCAATTAAATTCACGTTGATTTCGGGCCGACATCTAGACAAAGACATAAAGTATTACTTTTGTCAAGTTACGTGACCAGTAGTACTAATAGTCGGCGCTACCGCCGCTACGGAAAGATAAAAAACATGCAAGACAGTCTTCACACTTTGTGCGGGAGAGAAATGGGGTTTAACGTCCATTCGACACAAAGTAGGTCATTTCGCGTTAAACTACTAGACCACCCAATCCCTCTTCACACTTTGTAGTCACAGTGTCAAAACCGGTACCGAAGGCACTAGGTCTCAACGAAATTTACAATAGATGTATACAGTTGCGCAAGTCTATAAAATGATAACAACTATAATTATTCAAAGAATATAATATATACTATTCAAAAAAAGTAGGGGATATTTGATTTTTAAGTGTTATTAAAGTCACCTAATGAAACTGACGAAGAAACAAATGACAAAATGAAATGAAGTTCACATTCATCGATTTATTCCAAATGATCGTTAGACTAAGTAAGGCACAGACTGACCATTATAAGGGTAAAATGATACCCGGGGTCAAACAGCAAAGTTACCACAGCATCACAACCAAGTCAGTAACGGGTAAATCCTCCTCTGTTTGCCAAACAAGCATTGATCCGACGTGGCATACTCCTAATGAGACGTCTAAGGTCATTTTGGTCCAGATTGTCCCATTCCTGTTGCAACGCAGCAGCAAGTTCTTGGACATTGGCAGGACGTTGTTGACGTTGACGTAACCTCTGTCCAAGCATGTCCCAGACATGCTCGATGGGGGAGAGGTCGGGACTCAGTGCTGGCCAAGGTAATGTGGTGATGTTCTGTTGTTGGAGGTAACCTGTAACGATCCTGGCCCTGTGACATCTTGCGTTGTCATCCTGGAAGATGAAACGGCGGCCATGACGTCGTGCGAACGGCACAACATGGACTGCCAAGATGTTGTCCCGGTAGTACTGGCCTGTAACACGCCCTGCAACAACATGTAAAGCCGTTCTTCCAGCAACAGTGATGCCTCCCCACACCATAACAGAACCACCCCCAAATCGATCATGTCTGATGACGTTAACGTCTTGGAAGCGCTCGTTTCGACGACGCCACACCCTCCTACGTCTGTCCAAAAAATCAACAGTGAACCTTGACTCATCTGAAAACATCACATTGCTCCAGCGTCGATTATCCCAGTGTTGACGATCCCTACACCAACGACGTCTTGCCAGAATGTGATGATCTCTCAAACAAGGGATCACGCGAGGACGTCGGGCGCGAAGGTGACCCCTATGCAGTCGATTCCGAATCGTCTGGCCACTCACTCTCACACCAGTGTCTGTTTGAAGACGAGCGCTGATCTGATTTGCTGTGATGACACGATTTCTCAAGGCCAAGGTACGGATAAATCGATCCTGGGCTTGAGTTGTCGCCCTTGGTCGACCTGAGCGTGGTCTGTCCTGTACAGATTTTGTATCACGGTATCTGGACCATAGCCTGCTTATGACAGACTGAGAAACATTCATCGTCCGCGCCACAACCGCCTGTGTTGTGCCGATCTGTAGCATGCCAAGGGCACGTAAACTTTCATTTTGGGTAAGCCGACGCATATCAAAATTTGTTTTCTGGTCACTAAAACAATTAAACTGATTTTCCACCCTGGAATTCAATGCCACAATGACTGTAACATTCAAAGTCAGAGTCGTGCAAATCTTGGGTTGGACCCCCATGATGATCCCAAGCATCACCTGCATTCCATGCGGTAGCTATTGGTGCGTTTGGGCGTCACATGTAACTGGAAATGTTTCTTCTGTTAGGTTCTATAGTGACTTTTTTCGTAGTCATTTGCATATTTTAGTATTATGCCCCCAAAATCAAATATCCCCTACTTTTTTTGAATAGTATATTACTATATTTTGGTGTAAAAACATTAATTATTGAAACTGTTAAACTTAAAGGTTAGCTTAAAAATGACTTAAACATACATTATGCAAGAGCTAAATCTGTCTATTGCAGGTCTTTCTTTAGGCCTGAAATGTTATCTAAATTATTAATTAGACATTAATTAACCTATCCAGGCCATAATCAACTCTAGATGGCATCGCTAGCCTGCGGTCTTTAGTGCATTATAAGTCGATTTACTGCATAACTTTCCTTAACGATTTAACGATTAAATGGATAATCGAGACTATGCTATTTATCGTACTGACTTTAGTAATGATGATCGAGGCTAGGCGGAAATTTCAATCGCTTAGTTCTCGGTTCATAGTGGATCAATTTGAATGAAATTTTCAGCAAATTGCCTTTACATTATCTAGTTTTTTAACTATTATAGTGAGAACTGCCAACTCGTTATCGAATCTCCCATAATGTGTCTTTAAGTAATGTTGTTAATATTTTCTTTAAATAACAGATTCACATTAACTCCAAAATTTTTATACAGCCAAGAAAACTATGTCAAAATGGGCCTTAGGATTCCTAAGGAAAGTGTTAATCCTTTTAAGTAATCCACTTCTGAGTAGACTAACGAGCATTGTTGGTCGGCCACGCCCTGTCTACCTAAAATGCATATTAAATGGGCACAAAGCGTTCCTATTGGGTCGCTCTTGGGCAATATAAACCCTTCTGAGTAGTGAGGGGGTAACACCACACACACACACACACACAATTGCATAAGACAAACTACGGATAGAAAACTAAACACACAAACACACAGACACTTCCAACAACAAGTAAGTGATTGAGGGGGGAGGGGCAACGAATTTCGACGGAGTTTTCCTTGAGTTAAAATTGTTGGTAAATTTGTACCTAAATAAACTATGGTTCTACAATATATATCCTCGATTAAGTTTATATCAGGAATAGTACAAACTGGGTAGTATTTTCGTATTAAAAATATTGTTATACCAACAAATAATCATTAAAGTTTGGAGCTAAATCGCCAATATTTGGGACCTAGAAATTGACACAAATTGGTCACAACGCATAATAATAATGTAATATGAATGTTTATAAACTGATTAACATTCAATCGTTACGTTTAATCTAGTTTCAAATCAGTTATATTCTGCGACGCGAGAAGTTTCCATCGAATTGCAATCTCTAGCGTCTGGTTATTCCAGTCTACACCGGTGGTATTTATTGCGTCATCGTTTGACATGACTTGTGGAATATGTCTAGCCTCGTTCTTAGAGGGGATCACGTGGCTAAGTGGGTAAGACGCTGGCTCGCTAGCCTGGAGGTCGGGTGTTCGATCCCTACATTGGCCGAGAAAGTTCATCCAGATTTTCCGGCGTGGTTCCCCCTTGTCAGTGATGCAGGACGGAGGGCCTGACAAGGACAGCTGTCTAGTCGTTCGGATGGGACGAAAAACCGAGGTCCCGTGTACACATTGGCGTGCACGTAAAAGATCCCCTGACAGTTGGAATTCGATATAAGAGTAGGCCTTAGTGCCGCTGTCCGGGCAAAATTTCCCTCATAGCACACTGTATGGCGTATGCCCGTCTTCATTAGCCCAGTTCGGAGCAGAACAGTAGGACGTTAAACCCCATTTCATTTCATTTCATTTCGTTCTTAGAGTCCTTTGTTACAAATGGCGCTAAAACGCATTTTGATACACGATTCGTGTACCAATGGTAAAATGTTTATTTTATATATTGGATATCAGAAGCCCATCTTTTCCCGGTAAGAACAGAACATCCATGTTGATGTAAATTGACAAATAATTCGGGTTTTCAATGTCGAAGACTGTGAATGATATTGAGTTCAAGTCTTAGCTACTTTAACATTAATAGCACGTTATGCGCCAGCTCTGTTGAAGATTCTTGTGTAATAGACCTAGTTCAGCTCTGGACGTAGGTCTCATTACACTCGGCCTGTACGTTCAGAAACTCTTCTATTGAATCCTTTTCGAAACTGAGATCCGCCCCAGTCAATCTTACTGGGCAACTTTTTACTGCTAAACGGTCGCGTGTCAGTCCCTGTGAACGCCTGAACAATATAAATGAACACCTTAGTGAGAATATAAGACCTTGCTTACCTCGCTAGAACCAGTATGAGCGACACAACACGCTGTTAAAAAATACGTCTCCGTCTTCTAACCGACTTGGCGGACTTCATTGAAAGCGTAACGTACAAATTTATGAACGTATTTTTTAACAGCGTGTTGTGTCGCTCATACTGGTTCTAGCGACGTAAGCAAGGTCTTATATTCTTACTAAGGTGTTCATTTATATTGTTCAGGCGTTCACGGGGACTGACACGCGACCTTTTAGCAGCAAAAAGTTGCCCAGTAGGATTAACTGGGGCGGATCTCAGGTTCGACAAGGATTCAATAGAAGACTTTCTGAACGTACAGGCCGAGTGAAATGAGACCTACGTTCAGAGCTGAACTATAATAGACCATGCCATATGCTATGCAATAGACCATGATGATTAGCTCGGTCCTTTACTCCTAGCTATAAGTATGTATTTAAGACATCATTTTCATAGGGAATCTACCGCCCCTGCTAAATACCGTGACCTTACTTTTATCACTGTTAATTTATAGCGATTCCTGTTTGATCATCAGTATCTACATGTTTTTCCTTAAGACATCTTTATAAAATAAGTAATAATGGTGATAATTGGCAACCTTGGCGAACGCCACACGACGTATCTAAGAAATCCGTTTTTACTCTAAAAATTTCTGATTAACCTGAATGTGTTGCCCTTAATATTACCACTCTATTTACAGGTTACTTTATTGAATGGGACAAACACCTGTATCTGTGATTCATGTGTCAGTCGTAATTTCTCGCTGATTGACGAACATGTTCAAGAACTTCTAGCAGAACTAACAGTAGATGCAACGATTCTATCGTCAACTCGAAGAAAAAAAGAAAGTGAACCAGATAATCGTACTTCAGCTAAAAGTATAGGTTACATAGGAATATTTTTATTTGTTAGTTTATTTGGTACAATATTTATTGCAGATATAGGGAAAATATATAATGACTTCAAGAGTTTCCATTAAAGTAATGGACACAAAATATATTAGCCTATAGAATAATTGAAGGCCTTATTTATGTTTCCAGGTCCCGGTCGGCTTTAAGAAAACTGACGCATGTTATGAATATAATCGATTTGTAATAACTAAAATGTAATTATAATATTAAATTCGGTGGCAATCTACGTTAATGAAGATGTAGGGCGTCATTATTCGGTAACTAGTATTTTATAGATAGCCATACGAAAGTATGTAATATTCATATTATACAACTGTATGATATTTTATCGGGTATCATACCAGTACTTCTTAATGACTAATTCACAGCACGCAATATGCGGTTACTTGGGTTATTGGGAGAGTCGAAAATTATTACACTAATTTCATATATCCCATATGCATTCAAGATAAATGTTAATTGATTTTTTTCAAAAGAAATATATCGAACATAATTGATCGGAGGGTTTAGTTATATTACCTTTAAAATAAAACATCGTACTAATATTTTATCTAGGAAATGAGAACACACACTTCTAGCAATTTAAAAAAAAGTCCTTTACAATGCAACAGATTGTGTTGCTAATTCAGAATAACAGCTTAGACGGGGGTGCATCATTTTAGCATTAGATAAAAACGTCTTATGGTCATGATTTAGGGTGACCACCTGTCCTGCATTTCACGGGACAGTCCCGCAAAATGTTTCCAGGTCCCTCTTCCAGAAAACCATCCAAAATGTCCCGCAATTGCTCACATGGAAGATTTCTATACAGTAATATGCGTGAATCTAGTCTTGCTATAATCTATTTCAGTATTAGTCTATTAAAAATACCGAAAGACTCACCACAAATTCCTTTAGAAGGTCTTTTGGTACCAACATGTAGATGACCTTTCCCTGTACATCATTCTGAAAATTCACCGAAATCCACCGGCGTGGTCCCCCCTTGTCACTGGTGCAGTACAGAGGGCCTTGGTCAACGTTTACTCATTCGGATGAGACGTAAAAGAATCCTTGGCAGTTGGAATTCGATATAGGCTAAGAGTAGGCTGTAGTACCGGTCCCTGGCACAATTTCCCTCAGAGGACACTGTATGGTGTATGCCCGTCTTCATTAGCCCAGTCGGACGTTAAACCCCCATTTCATTTACGTTTAACTCAAAGAAATATATATTTTAATGTAATAAACATAGAAATGGAAAATATTGACAGAAAATCAACGAATATCATTTATATAACATTGACACCCAATACTACAACCACTATCAGCAGCGCAACCAACAACACCACGACCGTCACCATACTCAAAGAAAATTAAATTAAATTAAGTGAATATAATTAATTCACATATAATATTTTTAAAAATATTGTAAAGACCTGCACTAATAGTAGAAATCTCAGTTCTCAGACAGTACATCTTCTAAAATCTCTAAATATTAACTTACAACTTGGAAAACGTGCTTTGTCCTATGCTATAGACCTTTTCTATGGAATAAACTACCAAGGTCAATTATTGTCAAAACAGTCCAGGGAGAGAGAGAAGAGAGAGAAAAAGATAAATGCGATTTTACGCCCACTCGAAACAAACTATAATTCCCTTGCACATATGGTCTTTAGCGTTGGGAGGAAACCAGAGGACGAGGTTAGATGGCGACCCCATTCCTTGTCACGTACAAGCGGGGAATCGAAACCACACAAATTGACTCAATGACAGATCTTATGATACAGCTCATACGTGCTAACCATTCGGCCATCCAACCCCCAGCATCTTTAACCCTTTACACATAGTTATTTTAAAATCTCAATCAGTTTTACAACATTTAGCATGATAAAATCTCAAAACGTTTCATTACCTTCCGCATGATTTAATTTTAGCGATAAACGATCAATGTACATGGATGATAATTTGATTGTAACTTAAAAATATCATTCAATTTCATGATATATATTTACACGTACACTTTCAAACGGTTCTGTCGCACAAATTAATAATTTATATATTTTGTTTGAAATGAAAGACTTGAATTTATATTGTTGTTATATATTATTATCCTAAAAGATTCGCGATAAATATTATAATATGACACATGAATACAGACCAGGCCTGTGTGAATATTTTATAGTTTGATTTTCTATTGTTACAATGACGAAAAGTGAAGTGACTATATCTATATCAACAGGCATACTGCCTCTGTTGTTTTTTTAAAATAAAGATAATGTCCCGCAATATGATCAAGCAAGGGTGGTCACCCTGTATTGATTAGACTCGGTAGTAGTTTCCGGGTATGGTGAAGTTCCTAGGAGGCATATATGACGGTCAAAATTAAATGCTCTGCTAAAATGTCATTTCTAATGATTAAATTATGTAGAATATATAAAGTCAGAATACCTCTAATCACAAAGTAAAAATACTTATAAGGGCAAAATCAAATGTCACAATATTATTTCTTACATTCATTTTTTTACAGACAGTCTGATGCTTAAAACACTGGTGAATGTGGAGTAATTAAACGAGCTGGTGGTTTTATTGTGCCCTATATATGTATTCAATTGCGTCGATTCTATTGAACACTAAAAGGTTTCTCATTTGACTTACAACATTTAGTTTTAGACTACCTGGGGGTTTTTTAATACATTTCACCTATGTGGTTACTTGTATAGTTAATTTGTCTTGTAACATATAGCAGATCATGACTCATGCTGGCATTACACAATGGTTTCTCTAGGTTATATTCCTGATCGTTTTCAAATTTGAGTAAAGTGGACGCTTACGCCTAGCACCCGGATCCATTCACTTAATTTGAATCATTCGTTTGTTTGTGATTTCTGCGTAGTGTCTTGTCCATATATTTGTTCTTGTGTAAATTATGTGTGGTGCAGGCCCCATGCACTTACTATTATATTGGTCGCTTGAAAAGGTCATCTTTACATTGGTGATCCCCCATGTACATTACTCTAACCCATGACGTTAACTGTCTTTCTTTATATTCTATACAATTTCTGGCCAATAATCCGACTTATCCTATTATTAATGACTCTGTAAATATATATATATTAACCCGACTTTGCTAATAGTTGTGTGAAACTCATGTTTTGGTACTCTATAAACATTAGAATATACAATTGTGCAAAGCATTTAATTTTGACAATTATATCCCTACATGTGCCACGAACCAAAGCAAAGCAACATACTGAGACCCTCTGACCCATTTTCCAAATTTTATACGTTTTTGGTAGATTTATTTTTATATTTTAAAAAAAAATTGTAGAGCTACGTTGATAACATCTTTGCGTATATTGTATATATTTTGTAAATAATTCTGTATTTTTCTTTTCTTTTATATAATACGATTTGTGATTATGAAACATTATAAATAATTTTGCTAGTTATTCCTAAAATGTTATTTGTAATCTATATTCTTCCAAAACGAAAGGAAACAGGGGCTAAGTGAGAGCTGCGCAATGACGAGCTTTGGGTCATTGTTTTGAGTTTTTGCACCCCTTTGAGTATTTGTACCCCCTCGCAAATGGCATTATAATCATAATCGTAATGTTTAACCAGTGTCAAACATATACCGTGAGTCCGTGAGTCAGGCATACTACAAATCGACTTATTACCCGGCAGCACTGCCCCCCCCCCCCCCGCCCTGCCGCACGCACACTTTGGGGGCCCGGACGGGATCATGTCCCTCATGAACATTTTTGTTAGATTGCAGTTATACGTACATTGAAGTATACCATGGGATTTCATGTCTATGTAGATCTATGTTTGATGTGTATCCTAAATGCGAACGACTCCCGTGTTTAGCATTCTGTCGGGAAGTTCTTTTCTCATTAAGGAATCATTTCACACTGATGTAATTGCGTCTTGTCCCCCCCCCCCCAAAAAAAGAAGAAAAAGCAAGCGCGGTTGTCATGCAATATACGCCCACAGTTTGCAGGAGATGGACAGAGTACAAGCTTAAAAATAACGATTTTTCGTACAATCAGTGGCCATAATCCACGATGTTACCGTCCGACATGCAGCACTATCCAAAGGAACTAAATTCGTTGGGATATTTAAAGGTTGTGATCTCTCAGCAGTTTTAAACTTATTTCGATTCAAGGGCAACATGAACTAAAATTTCATATCAAGTGGGCTCGAGATATACAAATAATTATATCAAGATAAAGTTAAACGTCCTTGAACTTTACTGAATTCTAAATACAAAGCCAAACGTCCTTGACACAGGTATTTTTTTAGACTGGTTTCCAAATTGCCAAGATATATTGAACACAACTTAGATATCTATGACATCAGAAGTCACAGGAAAACAATAATAAATCATTTCCACCGCTAGTTTCTAAGAATTATCGACACGTCAGTTAGTTGAAATTTGTCCCACGGGTCACATTAAACCATTGGCGGGTCGGATCTGTTACCCCTGTGAGGGGGGGGGGGGGTCTATTGGTTAAAACGCGATTTTCCATACAGTCGGGGAGGGGGGGCATAATCCATGAAGTTACTGTTGTGACCTGTAGAGTGCCCACAAACAGCCCACAAACAAATTGTGGACGGACGTCCAGGCAGAGGCGTGCTGGGCCGGTTGGAAATGGTAGATTTGCTACCATATGGTAATCGACGGATTATGGCTAGCATCCAATTTTCTCTGATTTCTGATGTGATTTGAAAAAGTTTGCACTTTGCAACCATTTATAAGAACAATTCCGCAGTTAGCATATCGTATTAAACTGGTTTTGTTGGGTCTCCAGCGCGGTTAAGAATACGTGACATGACGAAGAAACGAAACTAGTTTGATTCACAATTTCTGCACCTCACTCATTTTCTCTTCGGATTTAGGCCATTATATTTCACAGTGGATACGAAAATTTTGAGAAGAAAAATGTATGTCAAATTATGTCTTATTTGCAAACCAGACAGACCACCCAAACCCACGAAACCACTGTCCGAAGCAATTACAATATTCTATCCACATGTATGTCTACTCTGATAGTGATACACTTATATTATAGTTAGTGATACACTTAGACTGGATAACCTATAAATAAACAG